TGATGAGATTTTTTAGGAGCTAGGGTGCTGGTTGCCATTGGTTCCTTATGGTGTGCCTGCATTGCTCGCATCCACCCCATTCTCAGGCTCCTGAAGCCCCTGAGTATTGTGACATCACAGGGCCTACCTGTCTCTAGTCACCAGCACCTCTTATCTCTTATCCCAAGCTGTGGCTCACCTTGCTCTCTTGGTGCCACCTCCTGGAACACGGGGGTGGCATACTGTAGCTCCTGGGAATGTTCGGCCTCTGGGCAAAAGATAAGAAATAGGAGTTATTGGGCCAATTATCTGAATTTCTAAGCACATGAGGGCAGTGGGATAGACTCTGCAGAACATGCTCACCATCTTGGGCTGTGGAAACACATGGTCTGGATCCCACTTCTGGGACAGATCCCTCCTCTGTAAAATGAGAACGACATAAATTGGGGGTTGGTAGTAGTTGTGTTAGAAAAGGTGGGTAAATTACTCAGCACTGCGTCTGGAATGTGGTCATGTTGGCTGAGATTGTTCCATTGTCAGCTGATGATAGGGTTTGGCTGTGTCCTCACCCAAATCACATCTTGAATTGTAGTCCCCACAAACCCCACGTGTCATGGGAGGGACCAGGTGGAGATAATTAAATCATGGGGGTGGTTTCTGTCATACTGTTCTAGTGATAGTGAGTTAGTTCTCACAAGATCTGATGGTTTTATAAGGTTTTTCCCCCTTCCCTTGGCTCTCATTCTTCTCTCTCCTGCTGCCTTGTGAAGAAGGATGTGTTTGCTTCCCCTTCTACCATGATTGTAAGTTTCCTGAGGCCTCCCAAGCCCTGCGGAACTGAGAGTCAATTAAACTTCTTTCCTTTATAAATTACCCCATCTCAGGTATGTCCTTATAATAGCAAGAGAATGGACTAATACATCAGCCAAGGCGTTGGGTCTTGTTTACTGCAAAGCAATGTGCAGTGCCTGCTTTGAGAGGTGACCATGAAAGACTGTGAAACACAGTGCGGATCATTCTGAACAGATGTGAAAAATCTTCAAGATATGTTGTTACATGGAAAAAAAAAATCAAGATGTAGAAAGTCATACCTACAATATGCTACAATTGCTACCATTTGTTTATTATACACATAGAATATCTGTGGAAGGGTTTTTTAAAAACTAGTTTTTACCCCTAGAAAGTGGGACTGGGCATCAATAGACATTGAACTCTATCCCTTTTGCTCCACCCCCCACTCCCATATGTCTGTCAACCTTAACAAAATCAAAAGACAAAAACCTGAAACCACCCAAAACACACAACAAAGTTCTCTTACTTGCTTGTTTTCCATGGATATTTGCATAGATTCCAACTTCCACAGCTGTGTCTCCACAGTCCCTGGGCACATTATTTCTCATAGCTTTTCCTACATAAATCAGTACAGAATCATTAAATTAAACCAATTCAGCCACATTTCTCTCATCTCCTCAGCCAAGGAGCAGAACTCCCCAAAGTTCTGAAACAAGGAGTGACTTGTTCCAACGGCCCAAACTGTTGTCTAACAAAGGAATACTATAGACTCAGCAGGGAGTCTAGACACGGCTTCACCAAGCCAGGGGCTGTTCTGATTTATTTTCCTGGCTTTCAGAGGAACATGCTTTACCTATCAGATTATGCCTGAACTAGCCAGACTTATTTTCTTTCCTTCGCTGAAGAGAATATTCTGTGGAAGCTTTGTAATATCTTCAAGAGAGTGTAAATGGCCTACCGAATTCTTTTTTTTTTTTTTTTTTAAGACAGAGTCTCGCTTTGTGGCCCAGGCTGGAGTGTCATGGTGCAATCTCCACTCACCACAACCTCCGCCTCCTGGTTTCGAGCAATTCTCCTGCCTCAGCCTCCCGAGTAGCTGGGATTACGGGCATGTGCCACCATGCCCAGCTAATTTTTTGTATTTTTAGTAGAGGTGGGGCTTCACTGTGTTGCCCAGGCTGGTCTCAAACTCCTGACTTCAGGTGATCAAAATGCTGGGATTATAGGCATGAGCCACTGTGCCCGGCCAGCCTCGCTGAATTCTATTGTTAGCTCCAGCCAGTAATCAAAAATATTAATGCCACTTTTGCAATAACCTGGACTTTTTATAGGAAGGAGAAACATGTTTTTAAGACATATGAGATGTGGGCCAGGGTGCAGTGGCTCACGCCTGTAATTCCAGTGCTTTGGGAAGCTGAAGGTGGGATGATCACTTGAGGCCAGGAATTTAAGACCAGCCTGGGAATCATAGTGAGGACATTGTCTCTAAAAAGGAATTTTGTAAATTAAAAAAAAAAAATACTGTAAGATCCCAAGCACTTTGGAGGCTGAGGCAGGAAGGCATTGATTTGAGTCCAGGAGTTCAAGACTGCCTGGGGCCAATCCATGGTGCAACCTAAACAAAAAAAAAAAAAATTAGCCCAGGAAGTGGTCGCGCCTGCTGAGTCCCAGCTACTGCAGGTAGCTGGGCAGGAGGGGCGCTGGGAGGTCGAGGTGCAGTGAGCGCATGATTGCACGCACCTGCACTTCCAGCCTTTGGTGATGGAAGTGAGATCCTATCTAAAAAAAATAGTATAATCTATAGTATAATGATATATAATATATAAAACACACACAACACACACATATCACACACACATATATACACATATACACTGAATTATATACACATGTAATGGGAGGTTACGGTGGGTGTAATAAGCCTCCAGCACGTTTGGGTGGCCGAGATAGGCAGATCACGAGTCCAGAGGTTCAAGACCAGCCTGGCCAACATAGTGGAAACCCCGTCTCTACCTAAAAATCAAAATTAGCCGAGCATGGTGGTGGGCACCTGTAATCCCAGTTGCTTGGGATGCTGAGGCAAGGAGATCACACTTGAACCCGGGAGGTGGAGGTTGCAGTGAGCGGAGTCATGTGCACTGCACTGTTAGCCTGGGCACAGAGTGAGGCCCCATCTCTTAAAAAATGAAATGAATAAATAAAATCATTAAGATGCATCAGATGTATAATCGTGACCTGCTGTGGTTTCAAGTTTTATGTCAGCTTGAGTCCCTGACTTCTCTGAGTTGTGACTCTCTGGAGATGGTTGCCCAATTTGGATGTCTTCTTAGCTAGCTTCGACCTTATGCTCCATGGCCCATTCCCACAAGTCAAAAACCAAGGCTCAGAAGCAACAGCCTGAGGGGTTGTCCAATAGCCCTTCGCTGCTGATGGTCACGCAGTCCAGTCAGGGCTGGACACAAACTGTCTTTGTGTTTAAATCATTTCATATTCTCTTCCGCCACTTCATGTGCAAATGACAAAAAAAACCCCACTTTTGAAAGGTCTTTAACCAGCTCGGTGGCCAATGAAAGACGTGAGAGAATGAAAAGCAGGTAAGGTGGGCGAGTACAGTGGCCATGCCTGATCCAGGCACTGTTGGGAGGCTGAGGTGGGAGGATCGCCTGAGTCCAGGAGTTTAAGACTAGCCTAGGCAACATAATGAGACCCCCGTCTCTAAAAAACTTTTTTTTTTAAAAAAAGCTATAACTGATTCTTCAAGTTTTCTGCTGGATGAAGCACTTAAGGTTGGGAAGAGAGAAGTGATGCTTTTTTGTTTCTGTTTTTGTTTTTTTTGAGTCTGGTGTGTTCAATAAGGTTTTTTTTTAAAAAAAAAAACAAATCTTATAGTAGAATAGATTATACTTTTACATTGAAAATCTAGAAAGCATGGAAATGTAGAAAAAAAATATATATATATATTAGGTTGGTGCAAAAGTAATTATGGGCCGGGCATAGATGGCTCACGTCTGTAATCCCAGCACTCTGGGAGGCTGAGGCAGGCAGATCACCTGAGGTCAGGAGTTCAAGACCAACCTGATGAACATGGTGAAACCCTGTCTTTACTAAAAATACATGGTGATGGGTGCCTGTAATCCCAGCTACTCAGGAGGCTGAGGCAGGAGAATCGCTTGAACCAGGGAACCAGAGGCTGCTGTGAGCCGAGACTGCACCACTGCACTCCAGCCTGGGCAACAGAGCAAGACTCCACTTCAAAAAAAAAGAAAAAAAAGTAATTGCGGGTTTTGCCATAAATGTAATGGCAAAAATTGCAATTACTTATGCACCAACCTAATATTTTTAATACTTCCAGCCCCAAACAATTGTAAACCTTTTGAAGGTGTCTTTTGTGCTAATGGGATGACGCTTGCTTGTCCTCATGCACTGAGCCTCCCCTACGTATGTGGCAGATCTAGAGTCGCACGAGGCAAAGCTCTTGCTTGAGGTACTTGCAGTCAGGAGCAGCCGCACCACTCGCAGCGCCCAGGGCGAAACGAACATTGTTCACATGCCTAAAACTTGTGTTTAATTAAGAACACAAGTTCTTGGCCCGGCACAGTGGCTGACGCCTGTAATCCCAACACTTTGGGAGGCCGATGGGGGAGGATTGCTTGAGCCCAAGAGTTCGAGACCAGCCTGAGCAACATAGTGAGGCCCCGTCTCTAATATAGAATAAAAAAATAAGAGAGAGAGAGAGAGAGAAAAAGGAACACAAGTTCTTAAAGTCATGACCAAGTACGTCTTTCACAAGAAGTCATACAAAGAAGAGAAAAGGGCCTCTTGTTTAAAAACATTAATAATTGCACACCCACGTTCCTAGCATTATTAAACAATAGACAAAAGGTGGAAGCAACACGGGCACCCAGGAGGGATAAATGGATAAACAAGGTGTGGCGTACTTATGTACAATGGGGCATTCTTCAGCCTTATCAAGGAAGGAAATTCTGACACATACGACAACGTGGATGAACCTTGAGGACATTAATCGAAGTGAAATAAGCCAGTTATGAAAGGACAAATGCTTCCACTTCTATGAGGTGCCTGGAAGAGTCAAACTAATAGAGATAGAAAGCAGAATAGTGGTTGTCAGAGCCTGGGGGAAGAAGGGATAGGGAGCTAGTGCGTAATGGGCACAGAGTTTCAGTTTGGGAAGATGAAAAAGTTCCGGACGTGGATGGTGGAGAAGGGTGCATGACAATGGGAACGTGCTTAATGCCACCGAACTATACATTTCAACATGGTTTAAAGTGGCCAATTTAGTGTTATGTATATTTTACCACCATTAACAATTTTTAAAAGAGTACAAAAAAATCATTAAGAATTTCAAGATGCGGCCGGGAGCAGTGGCTCATGACTGTAATCCCAGCACTTTGGGAAGCTGAGGCGGGCGGGTCACCTGAGGCCGGGAGCTCGAGACCAGCCTGGCTCACATGGTGAAACCCTGTCTCTGCTAAAAAAAAAAAACAAAAAATTAGCTGGGTGTGGTGGCAGATACCTGTAATCCCAGCTTCTTGGGAGGCTGAGGCGGGAGAATTGCTTGAACCCAGGAGGCGGAAGCTGCAGTGAGCTGAGATCGCACCACTGCACTCCAGCCTGGGCAACAAGAGCAAAACTCTGTCTCAAAAATAAATAAATAAACAAACAAACAAATAAATAAATAAATACCAAATGTGGAGTTCTTCTCGGCACAGGGCCCTGTGTGACTGCACAGGCTGCACGTCTGTGAAGCCAGCTCTGCTCGCCCTCAATCAGAAAAGGCTTTCCCCTGGAGAAAGAATTACCCTCTGCATGAACCGTTCAGGAAGTCTGTTCCATTCCCGCTCCCCTTTCTCATCTTTTCCTCCTGTTTTCATTTTCTCCCTATTCTATTTCCAATCCCCTTTTCTCTTTCTCCTCACCCTCTGCCCTGCTGTCTGTAACCCAAACCCATGGGAAAATGGTGGTAAAGCGACTAAAAGAACTTACTTGCTTTGTATTTGGGCAGTATCCAAAAAGCCAGCATTAGGATTATCACCAGCAGCAGCAGTAATAACCCCGGAAGCAGTAGCTTCAGACAGAAAGGACAGCTGTCTCCGCCTGGAAGAAGACAGCATCCACTGGTGACCATAGCATTTTCTTTGCCAATGACGTTAAGCCAGCAAGTGTTTTAGAAAAGGTGATGTCTCCCAATTTAACCAATGTACTATGCACCCAGGTTCCCAAATGGTCATGACACCTGCCACTTATGGGACTTACTAGTCAATAAAGTTATTGACTGGGCGTGGTGGCTCACACCTGTAATCCCAGCACTTTCGGAGATCAAGGGCGGAGGATCGCCTGAGTCCAGGAGTTTGAGACCAGCCTGGGCAACATAGTGAGGCCCTTGTTTCTACAAAATAAATAAATACATAAAAATTAGCCAGGTGTGATGGCATGTGCCTATGATCCCAGCTACTCAGGAGGCTGAGGCAGGGGGAATCGCTTGACCCCAGGAGGTGGAGGCTGCAGTGAGCTACGACTGTGCCACTGTACTCCAGCCTGAGTGACAAAACCAGACCCTGTCTCAATAAATAAATAAGTTAAGAAATAAATAAAAATAGCCCGGGTGCAGTGGCTCACACCTGTAATCCTAGCACTTTGGGAGGCCAAGGCGGGTAGATCACCCGAGGTCAGGAGTTTGAGACCAGCCTGGCCAACATGGTGAAACCCCGTCTCTACCCAAAATACAAAAATTAGCTGGGCCTGGTGGCATGTGCCTGTAGTTCCAGCTACTTGGGAGACTGAGGCATGAGAATCACTTGAACCCGGGAGGCAGAGGTTGCAGTGAGCCGAGATCGTGCCATTGCACTCCAGACTGGGTGTGACTCCATCTCAAAATAAATAAATAAATACATAATAAAATAAGTAAAAATAATAAAGTTTAAAAAGTCATGAGCAAGCACATCTTCCACAGTGGTCATCCAAAGAAGAGAAAAGCAACGTTTCTGGGGTCATAAGCACCAGAAAAGCCTGGGTGTTTACTGGGCGAGGCCCTGAGCCCTGGCAGCACGTTTCGTGTCATCCAAACAGCTGCCAGTTTTTGAGTTTTAGCTGCAGGCCAGGCACTGTGTTAGGCACTTAGCCTGTGTTGTCTGACTTATCCTGTTGGCATCATTCCCATTTTATAGATGAAGTGAGTAAGGCTCAGGGAGGTGAAATGACTTTCCTAAGGTCACACAGCCAGTGAATGGAAGGGCTGTGACTCATAGCCAAATGCCTGACTCCAGCAGGCTGCCTCACTTGTTAGACCACCCTCACTGAACACCAGGGCATAGGTTCTGTTCTGAGGATGTGGCTGGCTGGATGGTCAATGTCCAAGCATGCCTTGTGCCTTTGCTAACCTAGTTTTTCTTTTCTTTTTCTTTTTTCTTTCAGACAGGGTCTCGCTCTGTTGTGCAGGCTGGAGTGCAGGGCACAATGATCATAGCTCACTGCAGCCTCCACCTCTCAGGCTCAAGCAATCCTCCTACCTCATCCTCTGAGTAGCTGAGACCACAGGCATGCACCACCACACCCGGCTAATTTTTTTTATTTTCTGTAGAGACAGGGGTTTTGCCATGTTGCCCAGGCTGGTCTCAAACTCCTGGGCTCAAGTGATCTGCCAGTCACAACCTTCCAAAGTGCTGGGATTACAGGTGTGAGTCACTGCACACGACCTAGTTTTCCTTCTATCCTTCTACCTTGACAAATGCACCCTCAGAAGGACCTGGAAGGTCAGGTTTGAATCTGGAATTCTCAGACTTTCCAGAGTTTGGCATCAGGACGTGGCAGCATGGAACGAACCCACGGAAGTCCCGGGCTGCCCCACTTCCCACCTGGACTCTGACCTGCACCCTAAGGGGCTTTGCATGCCCATGGACGCCCCAGCCCACATGTGCAAACATCATCCACACCCCCCATAAACAGCTCCCTTGGCTCAGGTCCAGGAATGCTCATACCTTCACTGTGGGCCACCCTCAGGAGGATGAGCTGGGGGAGAGACTGGTACAGGCCTTGGAAATGGGTTCTGATCTGATTGGGCAGGGGATCTAGGTCCAGGTATCCAGAGTGTGGAGCAGAAAAGTGGGAGTATAGGGTCCAGGTGGGCACATCCCCATGGCTCCCTGAACCTCTCAGCCTAGGGGAAGGTACATAGCCCGGAGGTACCAGACCAGAGCCCTCCACAGAGCTTGGCCAGGGGCGCCTCTAGCCCTGAGCCAAGGGTGGTGCAGGACTCTAGACTCACCATTGTTAGCAGTGGAGCAACAAACAGCCAAGTAGGAAGGTATGGGTATTAGAAATCAGTACAAGACGGCCAGGCGCAGTGGCTCACGCCTGTTATCCCAGCACTTTGGGAGGCCAAGGTGGGCAGATCACTTGAGGCCAGAAGTTTGAGACCAGCCTGGCCAACATGGTGAAAACCCATCTCTACTGAAAATACAGAAATTAACCAAGCGTGGTGGCAGGTGCCTGTAGTCCCAGCTACTCAGGAGGCTGAGGCACGAGAATCTCTAGAACCTGCGAGGCAGAGGTTGCAATGAGCCGAGATTGCAGCACTGCACTCCAGCCTGGGCAACAGAGTGACATTCTGTCTCAAAGAAAAAAAAAAAAGTAAAAGAAAAGAAGAGAAAGAAAGAAATGATCACATTGACAAAAAAAAAAAAAAAGAAAAAGAAAAGAAAACCGACCTGGCAGTTCCAAGAGAGGTGCAAATTGGAAGAGGAGGGCAGAAAGTTTCACCACAAGTCCCCCTCCTGCTCCAGCTTCTAGGCTTTTCTATGGTTCCTTTATGGCAGAAAGCAACCCCATGAGAGTTTGCGTGGACTCTATCATAGGGACCCTCCATGCGGAAGCAGGTGACCACGGTGGGAAATGGGCGGGCAGAGGAGCAGCTGCAGTTTCTGGAAGCGAGTTCAGACCTGGCTGAAAGAGCTCAGGTTGCTCTTACCTGTTGAGGGCATGGTGACAGTTTGACTGTAGGCTGCATAGTCAGGCAATCTGTTTTTAGCTTCACACCTATACTCTTCCTCTTCTCCAGGATTCTTCCTGGTTAACTTAAATTCAGCAGACTCCCTGTCGTACTTGGAAATAGCTGGTGATATGGCAATATGCTTTTCAAAGAAAGTGTAATTGATGGGCAGCGAGCCATTGACTGAGAGACAATGTAATGTTATATGTCGGTGTGTTTCTGTTTGAATGACCATAATGTTCAGCACTGGGGCAGTCACCGGGTCTGGAAGAATGAAAGTGAACATGAAAAGGATAAACAGACTGGGCACGCTCACTCAGACCACAAATATGGGTGGAACCCTTACTCTATTCCAGGCTGTGGAACCAAGATGAACGATCCCCTTCCTGAGAAGTCAAGAAGCTCACGGCCCACTGGGAAAGGCCAATGGGCATGTGGCCAACCCCGTGCAGTGTGGGGTTAGCCGAGGTTCTCAGCTCAGTGCTGAGAAAGCCAGAGAGTGGAGGGTATCTCTCTGCTTTGAGGAACTGGGGTACAAGGTTGCCCTTCCTAGAATTCACAATCTATTTATTGTTAATAATGAATATAATTTTGTCAATGATCCAGTTCTAAGTATGAAGTTGAGAAGTGGTTTTTTATGTTTATTTTTTATAGACATAGGGTCTTACCATGTTGGCCAGGTCGGTCTTGAACTCCTGGCCTCAAGTGATCCTCCCACCTTGAATTCCCAAAGTGCTGGGGTTATAGGCAGAAGCCACCACACTCGGCCCAAGATGTGCTTTTATTCTCATTCCTTGTAAATTTACAGCGGGATTTTTTAATCCAAAAATATCATTTTCTTTTCAATGTATTTATTTATTCGGAGACAGGGTCTTGCTCTGTCAACCATGCTGGAGTGAAGTGGCACAATTATAGCTCACTGTAACCTCAAACTCCCGGGCTCAAGTGATCCTCCTGCCTCAGCCTCCCCTGGAGCTGGGACTACAGGTGCACACTGCTGGCTAATTTTTAAATGTTTTGTGGAGACAGGGTCTCGCTATGTTGCCCGGGCTGGTCTCAAACTCTTGGCTTCAAGTGATTTTCCCACCTCAGCCTCCCAAAGTGCTGGGATTTCAGGCGTGAGCCACCACGCCCAGCCCCAAAAATATCGTTTTCTCTAACGGTACTTTTATTTATAGAACTCAGCTGCACAATTATCTTTCACTTCCTCCAAAGAGCAGGAGTAACCCTGCTAGCTAGATTCAAGAGAAACTCTCAACAGGGAATGGGTCTGCTACACTCTGTTAGATCATAGCCTATTCTATAACCTAACAGAAAAACGCAGCTATACATTTTATTATATATGTATTAATAAGACAGTATTATAGGAAAGGAAGAAAAGTTGTTAAGTATCTATCATGTGCCAGGCATGCCATTCACATGATCTCATTTGACCTTCACGACAGTCCTGCAGTGTGGATAGTATCATACCCATTCCACAGATGAACCAACTATGCTTCAGAGAGATTGAGAAATTTGCCCAACGTCACACAGCTAGTAAATGGCTCAGTCAGCACTGACTTCAAGAGTCCATACTTAAAAACAGTTTTTTAAAAAAATGTACTTTCTTTTTTGTTTTGAGACGGAGTCTCACTCTGTTGTCCAGGCTGGAGTGCAGTGGCACGATCGCGGCTCATTGCAACCTCTACCTCCCAGGTTCAAGCAACTCTCCTGCCTCAGCCTCCCAAGTAGCTGGGGATTACAGGTGCCCACCACCATGCCTGGCTAATTTTTGTATTTTTAGTACAGACAGGGTTTCACCATGTTGGCCAGACTGGTCTTGAACTACTGACCTCAAGTGATCTGCCCCCACTCAACCTCCCAAAGTGCTGGGATTACAGGCGTGAGCCACCGCAGCCGGCCCTGTGTTCTCTTTAAACATTTGATGAGTGAGCACTTTGGGAGGCCGAGGCGGGCGGTTCACGAGGTCAGGAGATTGAGACCATCCTGGCTAACATGGTGAAACCCCGTCTCCAGTAAAAATACAAAAAATTAGCCGGGCGCGGTGGCGGGCGCCTGTAGTCCCAGCTACTCGGGAGGCTGAGGCAGGAGAATGGCGTGAACTCAGGAGGCAGAGCTTGCAGTGAGCTGAGATGGCGCCACTGCACTCCAGCCTGGGCGACAGAGCAAGACTCTGTCTCAAAAAAAAAAAAAGAAAAAATTGATGAGTGAATCAGTGGTTAATGAATTTGTGTTTATGGCTCATAGTTTCAACCTTGACTGGGTTGAGGACAACACTGTGTTTTAGGCCTCATTAAAAACCCAGTAGCACAATTGCTTGCACAGAGTAGGTACTCAGTAGTGCCTGTTGATCTGCCCTAACTGAAGATAATACAGTTTTATAATCTACCAAGATAGTTTTATTACCGGACTGTGTAATTACCCTAACAAATTGCAGGAAGGTCGTGCACAGAAAACATATGAACCGATGGGCTTATCGCCCAGCGCAGCAGGAGTCTGACCACTAGAGAATACCATCAGCTATGTTCCTGCCCTCACATATCCATCGTGTTCCAGTACCATGTTTGCACGGATTTTCCCCTCCTTCTTCCTTTTCCTTTCACAAGGAATATACTCAGTTTATGTCCAAAGATCATTGGGATTTTTTTTTTTTTCTTGAGACAGGGTCTCTCTCTGTCACCCAGGCTGGTGTGCGGTGGTGCAATCACAGCTCACTGCAGCCTTCAACTCCTGAGCTGAGGCAATCCTCCCAACTCAGCCTCCTGAGTAGTTGGCACTATAGGCACGCCACCATGCTCAGCTACATATATATATATATTTTAACTTTTTGTAGACACATGGTCTCCATATAATGCTCAGGCTGGTCTCAAACTCCTGGGCTCGGGTGATCCTCCTGCCTCAGTCTCCCAAAGTGCTGAGATTACACCTGTGAGCCACTGCACCTGGCCAAGATACTGGGTTCTAACCTGGAGTCTGTAGCATCCTCTAAAACCTTATGCAGAAATTTGTATCTGCAGCTTTATGAATATTTCTCTGGAGAAGGTATTCATTGCTATCATTAGATTATTAAGACAGTTATAACCTAAAAAGCTAAGAATCACTGAGCTACAGCAATGTCACCCAGTAGAATTTTCTGTGATGATGGGAATGGTCTACATCTGTGTTGTCCAATGTGGTGGCCACCAGCTACAGGTGTGGCTACCAAAGCCTTGAAATGTAACTAATGAGACTGTGGAGTGAAATTGTTTATTTCATCTAATTGTCATTAACTTGATTTCAATTATGACATGTGCTTGTAATCCCAGCTATTCAGGATGCTGAGGTGGGAGGATCTCTTAAGAACAGGAGTTTGAGACTGTGGTGGACTTTGATTTCCTGTGAGTAGCCTCTGCACTCCAGCCTGGGTGACATAGGCTATTAAATTAATAAATTTTGGCCAGGAGCGGTGGCACACGCCTGTAATCCCAGCACTTTGGGAGGCTGAGGTGGGTGGATCACCTAAGGTCAGGAGTTCAAGACCAGCCTGGTCAACATGGTGAAACCCCATCTCTATTAAAAATACAAAAATTAGCTGGACGTGGTGGTACGTGCCTGTAATCCCAGCCACTTGGGAGGCTGAGGTGGGAGAATTACTTGAACTGAAAGGCAGAGGTTGCAGTGAGCTGAGATCATGCCACTGCACTCCAGCCTGGGTGACAGGGCAAGATTCCATCTCAAAAAAAAAAGAAAGAAAGAAAGAAAAGAAAACAAAATACACAAATTTAAACAGTATCATACTGGATAGCATAGACATAGAGGACCACTCAAGAGTTCTCAGGAAGTCAGGGTCCCTGTGCTTTGAAGACTCCAGGTGTAACATACATGTGTTTCCTAGAAGACTTTCTCCTCTCCCAGGAGTCCATTATCAAGGTCACCTTCACAGATGAGGCCCTTAATGCTAGGCAGTAACGAGCTTGGGATGGGAAAATGGGACAGAAAAACATAGCAGTGAGTGCTAGCAGAGGGGCCCCGGACACTAAGGAAGCGGTGGGAAAGGCCTGGGGCTTTGAAGGCCCTCTCCATGGGGCCCAAGGCTTCAGAAAAAAAAAAAAAAAAAAGTGATTTTTGCCCACACAATGGGAATCACAGAATAAAGTTCCTAGAAAAGACCTCAACAATTATTGTTGAGATATAAGACTTTTGCCTAAAGATATAAGACTATTACCTGACATGGTCGAAAGTCTTTGAAAGAGAAGGTGAAATGGAATTATTAAGAATAGAGAACTCACTGGGCGCAGTGGCTCACCCCTGTAATCCCAGCACTTTGGGAGGCTGAGGCAGGCGGATCACCTGATGTCAGGAGTTCGAGATCAGCCTGACCAACATGGTGAAACCTCGTCTCAAGTAAAAATACAAAAATTAGCCAGGTGTGGTGATGGGTGCCTATAATCCCAGCTACTTGGGAGGCTGAGGCAGGAGAATGCCTTGAACCCGGGAGGTGGAGGTTGCAGTGGACCAAGATTGTACCACTGTACTCCAGCCTGGGCAACAGAGTGAGACTCTGTTTCAAAAAAAAAAAAAAAGAATTCAGATCTCAAAAATTAAAAAATTAAAAATACTTCCTGTTGACCAGGTCTAAAAATAAATAAAAAATAAAAAAAGAATAAAGATCGCAGTAACATACTTTCCAGTTTGTTGAGTGTTCGCAAGGGTCATGGAGAGCCCCTCATAGAACCAGAAAAGACCCTATAAATTATAGGGCTCCAAGGAACAGGTGCTCCACTTACCGACAATTGTGAAGTTGAAGTCACGGCTGTATTTTGAACAGCTGTAAACTTGGGCTTTGCATTTGTAGGGGCCTGATTCATGGGCTTCTGTGATGCTTAGGTTAAAAATTGCAGGTTCACCTTTTCCATTCTGGGTTCCAAGGTGTGTCTTATGTCGAAACAATGAATAGGTGATCTGCAGTGATTTGTTCTTATGGGAGCAAAACATAGATACATTTTGACCCTTCATAACCACATTAGTCTTCGAGTCCAAACATGGAGAAGGGAATTCTGAAAAACCAAATGACACAAGAAAAAGTCCTTGTTAAGATTCTGGCTGGGCAAGGTGGCTCACGCCTGTAATCCCAGCACTTTGGGAGGCCAAGGCAGGTGGATCACTTGAGGCTACGAGTTCGAGACCAGCCTGGGCAACATGGCAAAACCCTGTCTCTACTAAAAATACAAAAATTAGCCAGCACGGTGGCGGGCACCTGTAATCCCAGCTACTCAGGAGGCCGAGGCAGGAGAATTGCTTGAACCCGGGAGGTGGAGGTTGCAGTGAGCCAAGATCATGCCACTGCACTCCAGCCTGGGCGACAGAGTAATACTATTTCAAAAAATAAAAATAAAAAATAAACAAAAAGTTATTGAAGCTGGGTGTGGTGGTTCACGCCTATAATCCTAGCACTTTGGAAGGCTGTGGTGGGAGGATCGCTTGAGGTCAGGAGTTCGAGAACAGCCTGGGCAACATAGAGAGCCCTCATCTCTAATTTTTAGAAAGCAAAACAGAACAAACAAAACATAGCTGGGACCAGTGGATGGCTTGGGTGGAAGACAGATTTAGACTCTTCAAAAATGCTTTTAAAAATGCAATAAACTCTTCTCCCACTCTTTGATCTGGACAATTAACATTTTCTCAGTCTTACATAAACTCAACCTTTTTTTTTTTTTTTTTTTTTTTGGAGACAGAGTCTCACTCCGTTGCCCAGGCTGCAGTGCAGTGGCATGATCTTGACTTACCACAGCCTTGAACTTCCAGGCTCAACTGATCCTCCTGCCTCAGCCTCCTGAGCAGCTGGGACGATAGGCACACGTCATCATGCCCAGCTAAGTTTTGTAGTTTTGGTAGAGACAGTGTTTCACCATGTTGGCCAGGCTGGTCTCGAGCTCCTGACCTCAAGTGACTGCCTGCCTCAGCCTCCCACAGTGCCGGGATTACAGGTGTGAGTCACTGTGCCCCGCCATATAAACTCAACTTTAAGACAAGACTTAAACTACCTTTCCAACCAAATAGCCAACCCTAAGTTTTTTCTAATATAGGAATGCTAGAGTGTTTGTGGCCAGTAAACATGAAAAAAGATGCTCAACTTCACAAGTGATGAGGCAACTACAAATTAAAACAACACTGAGATATCATGTTTCGCTCATCAGATTGGCACAAATTTTAAAAATGATTGGCCAGGCACGGTGGCTCACGCCTGTAATCCCAGCAATCTGGGAGGCCGAGGCAGGCAGATCTCTTGAGTCCAGGAGTTTGAGACCAGCCTGGGCAAATGGTGAAACCCTGCCTCTACTAAAAATACAAAAATTAGCTGGGCATGGTGGCGCACACCTGTATGGCACTACTTGGGAGGCAGCGGAAGCGGGAGGATCAATTGAGCTTGGAAGGTCAAGGCTGCAGAAAGCTGAGATCGCACCACTGCACTCCAATCTGGGTGACAGAGCAGAGACTCTGTCTCAGAGAAAGAAAGAAAGAAAAAAAAAACCCTAAATAAAATTAAAAAGTAAAAGTGATTATATCCACCGTTGGGGAGTGGGTGGTGACAGATGGGATACGATCAGCCTTGTTGGGAGGGCAACTTAGCAGGGTCTGTAACAATTTAAATGTGTACGCCCTCTGACCTCGCAATTTCAATTCTAGAATTTCATTCTACAGAGATGCTTTCAAGCTCTCAAGCATCCATAAAGGATGTTTTGTACAAGGATGTTTACTGTAGCATTGTTTATATTGCCCCCAAAAAGTGGAACAATAAATAAGGATGGTTGAAAGAATCATGGCTGAGTCTTAAAACACCATGCAGCTGTTGAGAAAGAGGAACTGAGGCCGGGTGTAGTAGCTCATGCCTGTAACCCCAGCACTTTGGGAGGCCAAGGCGGGAGGATCACGAGGTCAAGAGTTCAAGAACAGCTTTGCCAACATGGTGAAACCCCATCTCTACCAAAAAAACAATACAAAAATTAGTCAGGCATGCTGGCACCTGTAATCCCAGCTACTCGAGAGGCTGAGGCAGGAGGATCCCTTGAAACCAGGAGGCGGAGGTCGCAGTGAGCTGAGATGGCGCCACTGTACTCCAGCCTGGGCAACAAGGTGAAACTCTGTCTCAAACAAACAAACAAACAAAAAAAAGAAAGAAAGAAAAAGATGAGCTAAATCGATATCTACTACTTAGAAAAGATGTCTATAATATATTAAGTTAAAAGAAAGTCACAGACAAGTTTATTTACTATGATTCCGAATACAAAATGACTGTTGATAGCAGTTGCTTCTGGAAGTAGGAGGGGGAGAAGGATTGGAGGAGGATTGTAATGGAACTTTTACATTTTATACAGTAACAACAACCACTTTGACTATCACTTATGGATGGTTTACCATATGTCTGGCACTGTGACGAGGAGCAAGGATTGTCTCATTTGATCTGCACACTAGCCTACCAGGTAGGTGCTTTTATTAGCCCACTTCACAGATGAAAGAAATTACGGTGTCTCACGCCTGTAATCCTAGCACTTTGGGAGTCCGAGGAGGACGGATCATGAGGTCAGGAGATCGAGACCATCCTGGCTAACAAGGTGAAACCCCATCTCTACTAAAAATATAAAAAAGTAGCCGGGCTTGGTGACATATGTCTATAGTCCCAGCTACTCGGGAGGCTGAGGCAGGAGAATCGCTTGAACCCAGGAGGCAGAGGTTGCAGTGAGCTGAGATCACGCCACTGACTCCAGCCTGGGCGACAGAGCAAGACTCCGTCTAAAAAAAAAAAAAAATAGAAATTAAGGTCAAAGTCGGTATGTCATGAGCTCAGGCTGCTGGCTAGTAACTAGTAGAACCAGAGTTAGACCACTTCCCAATGTATATTTCTAGTGTTGCTTGAATTATTTCACAATAATTCTGTGGGGTTTTTTTGGTTTTTTTGTTTTTTTTAAGAAATGAGGTCTCGGCCGGGCGCGGTGGCTGAAACCTGTAATCCCAGCACTTTGGGAGGCCGAGACGGGCGGATCACGAGGTCAGGAGATCGAGACCATCCTGGCCGACACGGTGAAACCCCGTCTCTACTAAAAAAATACAGAAAACTAGCCGGGCGAGGTGGCGGGCGCCTGTAGTCCCAGCTACTCGGGAGGCTGAGGCAGGAGAATGGCGTGAACCCGGGAGGCGGAGCTTGCAGTGAGCTGAGATCCGGCCACTGCACTCCAGCCTGGGCGGCAGAGCGAGACTCCGTCTCAAAAAAAAAAAAAAAAAAAAGAAATGAGGTCTCACTATGTTGTTCAGGCTGGCTTCGAACTCCTGAGCTCAAGCAATCCTACCCCATTAGCCTCCCAAAGTGCTGGGATTACAGGCCTGAGGCACCACGCCCAGTCTGTGTGTTGGCTTTCTAGTTAAAACACAACAACCATAAAACAATAACAAGGAAAGTTAGAAAACTTTCATTGTGAAAACGATTTCAATATTTTGTCACTGAGTCTCAGGAAAAAACGCTGCAATCCCCTCCCTAAAATCATTTTATTTTAAGTAATAGATAATTGAAAAGACCATTCTTTGGTTGTTCATAAAAGTTCAGAAACACTTTCGAATGGACGCTCATGTTGCAATCAGACTGTCTCACCACTTCAACGAAAATGGTTTCAGTAAGAAAGAAGTGAAACTTACCATTTGTGTTCATTGCCTCACAATCCAATACAGCTTTTCCACCTGAGAGAGAGAAAAGGAACACGATTAAGCTCACTTTCCACATGACGCGTTGGCTTAGAGGTTCGAGCCTCAAAATAATAAGGGGAGCTTACATGTGACAGAAGAAAATACGCTCCAGAGAAGGAGCCTGTTCAAATGTCTCCACATTCTCCCAGATGAAGTCCAAGACGGGGTCAGAAGGCATAGTAGCACCACAGTAGTGAGTCACTCGGAGAACTTCCTCTTTTTCTTGGCCAAGTTAAGGAAATCAGAGGGTTTGGACGAGCTTTGCATAATATGACTGGTTCGTTCGACCAATCTGTTTTCCTCTATGAGTTCCCGTAAGAAGAGAGATATTTGGTAGACTGTCACCCGCCCCCCACACCCCCTGCCACCCGGTCCCACGCTGGCTGGGAAAGAGAAAAGGAGGTAAATCTGACTGTTACATTGTCTATGTAAACCCACCTGATCTCCTTGCTCTGGACTCAGTCTATGCCGAAAGGAGTTTAGTGGAAGTTCGGTTTAGTCTTTGGAAGCAAACTGACTGTCTTAAGCAGATAATATAAATATTGTATCAAAAATGCCTGCTTTTTTTTTTTTTTTTCCGAGACTGGCCTCACTCCGTCACCCAGATTGGAGTGGAGTGCTGTGATCATAGCTCATTGCAGCCTCAAACTCCTGGGCTCAGGTGATCCTCCCACTTCAGCTTCCTGAGTAGCTGGGCCCACAGGTGTGCACCACCATGCCTGGCTAATCATTTTTATTTGTAGAGACAGGGGTCTAGTTGCCCAGGCTGGTGTTAAACTCCTGAGCTCAAGTGATCCTCCCACCTCTGCCTCCCGAAGTGCTGGGATTACAGGTGTGAGCTACTGTGCCTAGCCAAAAATGCCTGCTTTCATTAACTATTGATTCCTAGACCCCACTCCAGACTGAACGGGTTTGAAGTCTGGGACTCTGATTTTTTTTTTTTTTTTAAACAAGGGTCCCAAGCAATTCTTACACACAGTGAAGTCTGAGAAATATTTGTACAAGATGCTGCTGCCTCAGTGATTTCTGAATCAAGGGAGCCTTGGGGACTTGTTATTACGGCGAGCCCTTCAGTGTCAGGAGATCTGAGGTAGGAGTTAACTTAGATCAGCCTTTAAAATAAAACATGCAGGCCAGGTGCGGTGGCTCATGCCTATAATCCTAGCACTTCAGGAGGCCGAGGAGGACGGATCACCTGAGATTAGGAGTTTGAGACTAGCCTGGCCAACACCGCAAAACCCCATCTCTAGTAAAAATACAAAAAAATTAGCTGGACATGGTGCCTATAATCCCAGCTACCTGGGGGGCTGAGGCAGGAGAATCGCTTGAACCCGTGAGGTGGAGGTTGCAGTGAGCTGAGATTGCACCACTGCACTCCAGCCTGGGTGATAGAGTGAAACTCCATCTCAAAAAAAAAAAAAAAAGTCAATTGAAATAGGATGTGCAGAGCCACTCTTGATGGAGTGGAGATCACCAAAAGGATAGAAAGGTATGACTATGGGGCTAGGTGGGCAAGACAGCTGGTCGACACATGCAAGAATTGACAGGTCCACCAAGAGAGGAAGCAAGGAGCTGAATGGCAGGGGTGGCCTTGAGCTGGAACATTCATCTCTGTGCCTTAGTTCCCAAGGTGTAACCAAATCCCTCCTTATTGACTTAGGGTCACCTAGCTAGGGGGTTTGACAGAGTCTCGCTCTGTCTCCCAAGCTGGAGTGCAGTGGTACCATCTTGGCTCACTGCAACCTCCACTTCCCAGAATCAAACTATCCTTCCACCTCAACCTCTCTAGTAGGTGGGACCACAGGCACAAACCACCATACACTACTAAGTTTTTAACTTTTTTGTAGAGATGAAGTCTCACTATATTTCCCAGGCTGGTTTTGAACTCCTGGGCTCAAGCGATCCTCGTGTGTGTGGCCTCCCAAAATGCTGGGATTACAGGCATGAGCCACCATGTCCAACCCTTACTACAACAGTTTTACAGCACTTTGTAAAAGTTTGCATGGGTGAACTGTCAGACACATGTGCAAAATTCCATCAACTTTTTCTTTTCTTCACATCTGCAATGTTTTTCATCAGCATCCTGTCACTTTTCAGCTACCACTGCTGGCCAGCTGGAAAAGAGCAGACAACCATAGGATCATTCCCTGCATCCACATTTTCTTTCTCTCTCTTTTTTTTTTTTTGAGATGGAGTCTCTCTCTGTTGCCCAGGCTGGAGTGCAGTGGCCCTATCTTGGCTCACTGCAACCTCCACCTCCTGGGTTCAAGGGATTCTCCTGCCTCGGCCTTCCAAGTAACTGGGATTACAAGTGTGTGTCACCACGCCCGGCCAATTTTTTGTATTTTTAGTAGAGACAGGGTTTCACCATGTTAGCCAGGATGGTCTCAATATCCCAACCTCATGATCCACCCGCCTCGGCCTCCCAAAGTGCTGGGATTACAGGTGTGAGCCATGGCGCCTGGCCCTTTTTATTTATTTATTTTTTTTCTGAGATGGGGTCTTTCAAAAGTGCAGTTCTGAATCAAGGGAGCCTTGGGGTCTTGCTATTATGGTGAGCTCTGCAGTGCCAGGAGAACTGAGGTAGGAGTAAACTTAGATCAGCCTTTGAAATAGAATGTGTGAGGCTGAGTGCAGTGGCTCATGCCTGTAATCCCAGCACTTTGGGAGACTGAGGTGGGTGGATCACTTGAGATCAGGAATTTGAGACCAGCCTGGTCAACACGGCGAAACCTTGTCTCTAGTAAAAATTTAAAAAATTAGCTGAGTGTGGTGGCAAGTGCCTGTAATCTCAGCCACTTGGGAACCTGGGAACCGGAGGTTGCAGTGGCCTGAGATCGTGCTACTGCAGCTATTACTCAAGTCTAAAAATACTAGAAGTTGCCAATATATACATATATATTTTTTTCGTTGCCAGACATGTCTGCAATTTGTACTGGATCTGATAGAGAAACCATTTCCATGGGTCTATACTAAAATGTGGAGCCAGGGGTGGTGGCTCACTGGTAATCCCAGCACTTTGGGAGTGCCACTGCACTCCAGCCTGGGCGACAGAGCGAGACTCCGTCTCAAAAAAGAAAAAAAAAGTTTTTTTTTTAAATGATGATATAGAAGAACATTTCATGATGTGGTAAGAGAACCACAATATACTTAAGAAAAGAGAAAAGCTATTATTCACAGTTGTAATAACATAAATCATTTTTCTAAATAAGAAAGTGCATGATTTATATTCATAGAAAAACTCTCTGGAGTCCAGGCACAGTGGCTCATGCCTGTATTCCCAGCACTTTGGGAGACTAAGATAGGTGGATCACTTGAGCCCAGGAGTTTGAGACCAGCCTGAGCAATGTAATGAGACCTTGTCTCTAAATTAAAAAAGAAAAGGAAAAGAAAGGAAAGGAAGAAAGAAAGAGAAAAACTATCTGGAAGGATATTTTCTCAAAATGTTAACAATAGCTATATCTGGAGAGTAGAATATTTTTATTTTCTTTTTTTTATTATTATACTTTAAGTTCTAGGGTACATGTGCACAACGTGCAGGTTTGATACATAAGTATACACGTGCCATGTTGGTGTGCTGCACCCATCAACTCATCATCTACATTAGGTATTTCTCCTAATGCTATCCCTCCCCTAACCCCCCACCCTCTGACAGGCCCCGGTGTGTGATGTTCCCCTCCCTGTATCCAAGTGATCTCATTGTTCAATTCCCACCGATGAGTGAGAACATGCGGTGTTTGGTTTTCTCTCAGTATCGGGATTAGCTCGCTCAAATGGTCTTCCTACGTCTAGCTCTCTTGCGGACATCGCCCACCTGTCCTCTCCACATGTGAACTAATTTACCAGCTTTCTTTATTTCCCTATCTCTACTCCTCTTTCTTTCTCTTCTCTTCTTCTTTTCTTTTCTTTTTTTTTTGCGAGACGCACTGTCTCGCTCTCGGTCGCCCCAAGCTAGAGTGCAATGCACCGATCTTCGGCTCACTGCACTCCACTCCCGGGTTCAAGCAGTTCTCCTGCTCAGCTTCCAACCGTAGGGCTGCTAACTACAGGCGCCTGCGAGAGCGCGCCGCCACGCCCGGCTAAATCTTTTGTATTTTTAGTAGAGCGCGGGTCACCACATTGGGCAGT